TAATACCGGGCGTGAAAAATATTTTTTTAAATACGAATATAAGAAGACTACAATTTTTTGACAAATCAAAGCCGATAATATACTTAAAGAAAAAATGTTATAGAAGAAATGAAGAAAAGACCTGAAAAATAAATTATACAAGAAGCTTCAGTAACATTGTTATTAAATCAAGAAGATAAAAAAGAAAATTTCCAAGAAAGAAGATTCCAAGACACAGAAAACACCTTAATCAAAATTCCCTCAAGAGAAGAGTACCAACTTTATCAAAAATAAATATGAAAGAAAAAATAAGAGTACGAAGAAGTCCGGGCCCAACCACATCGGGGAGCGAAGAACATCTTCGAGTATCAGAGCAGTAGAAAGAAGTCAGGGGTACAACGAGCGAATAGCCAAGTTCTGTAGCAGGTACAAAACATCTCGAAAGCACCGAATGTAAGTTTAATTGTATAATAGTGTCGATGTCTATTGTCAAATTATATTATTACTTATGTAATGTTATACACAGAATTTGGGAAAGAATTTTTTTTAAATCATTCATTAAAAAGTAGGAAAAATATTAGTACTATTAATAGAAAAATTCAAAATTATGTATTATACAACAACAATTAATCGGTAAATAACTACTTAATAATGATAATAATAATATTTGTTTTTTACAACAATATGGTTAAACAATTGTGTTTAAGTATAATTTAGTTCTACATATTCTACCATAGTAATGTCTAAATATTAATGGACAAGTAACCATAACAATATTTATCGAAATTTTAACAACATACATATAATTATTCAATATTTTTTTAAATGATATGGTAACTTTCTAATTAATTATGTAACAGCGTCAGTGGAAATAATAACGTTTTATTATTATTATTATTATAGCTCAATGTCATATACTTGGTATAATCATTAATTTGTCAATCATTATGTATTATAAGTTATAAATGTTACATCCAATTATCATTATTTTTTTTCTGTTTTTATGTCAAATTTATTAATTCACTATTCCTTTCATAACGAACTAATGCAAATAAGACAAAATAATAGTTCCCTAGATAATTATAGCAATAAAATCGAACAATTATTCGTAGATTTGACGAATCATTTTATAACACCAGAATATCGCGTATCGCAAAGTTCTCAAAATATTGAAATTAACCCTAATAACGATAATAATGAAAATAATCTAGAATTTTTTCGAGACCAATAGTAATTTTGTTGCGAATATAGTAATTGTGTTGAGTTAGCAATCTCAAATCAAATGTACATGGCTCGTAGATACCGGCGCTTCCGTATGTGCGATTAAACATCACACGCTTAGTAAACTAAACATTTCATTACAAAAGAAACCGATTACAATAAACGGAATTGGAGGCAAATTACGAACCGTGGATTTGTTTATTTAGCATTGTCTATTGACGGGCTGAAATTTAATAGTAAGTTTCATGTTATAAAGCAGTTGCCGTGTGTGAAACTTCTGGAATTTTAGGTATAGATTTTTTACGTAGGTTTAATCGTAGCATAAATTTTGAATTGAATAATATTACACTGCATAATATGAATGAATTAGTAACTTTACCATTACATATGGGTATTTTGGGAAATAATAATTATTTGAGTATACCTCCGAAATGCGAGAATTTATTTTATATCAATGCGAGTATAAAAGAAAGAAATGTTCAAAAATGGGGATACGAATGATTGATTGTTAAGTTTCGTCAATATTAGACTGATCACCCAAATATTTGATGATGCTTAAACTAATAGTATTGAATCCGTTAAGAGTGAGAATTATGAAAGGAATAAATATAAAAGAAAATAATTGACCACCTAGGTCAATTTTGCTAGTTATTGGAATGAAAGAATTAGGCTATCGGATATTATCTTAGCCAATGTTTAGGGCCCAAACTCTGGTTATGTTAATAAATCGATATGCTTAGTTGAAAGGAGATGGAATGAGATTGAATAAATATAAAAGTAATCCGATACAGACAGAGATTTACGAAAGGATAATAAAAAAGAACCAGAGAAATAAATGAGGTAATGGAGAGATACGGGAACGTCCATCACTGGTATAATATAGAGTCCTCGAGCAGGGTATGTTTCCGTGATTGGATGATAAAATCGGGCGTAACGGGTACTAGGGAACAGTACCTTCAGCACAAGCGATATACAGTTTGCACATATTAGTACTCTTAGGGACCAGAGAAGTCTTAAATTTGTTACCCTTAATAATGGTACATAGAGGTTATATCCTTCAATGGATCATGGTGTGAACTTAGTTTTCCTCTGTGACAATTGTTGGAGTCCTTTTAATGACTTAAACGTAGACCTCAAGGTTGTGCGCACAACCCAAGGTACACTTTTACCTTGATATAATTACGATAAAAAGTTTATGTACCAATAAAATGAAATGAATGTTACGAAAATGTAATATAATACCCAATTAAATGGGGGGGCCCATATTTATAAAGTACCCGTGTGATAAAAATCACGAAATAAAATATAAATGAAATGAATTAATACTCCGATTCCCGGTATCTAATAAATAAATAAATATATAAGTGAATAGAGAGAAAGAGAGCTAGCTAAACGTCAAAAAATATTAGGAAGAAATAAAAGAAAGTACGTACAATAATTATGAAAAAAAGGCCTATTAATCGACAAAAATACAAGTAATAAGGGGATTTCCGAGCAAATCAAAAAGTGTGATAAATGTATGATAATCTAAAGGTGAGATAGGTAGTTATTTTGCATTTCTGTATTAGGACTATTAATGCTACCCAAAATGCGACTAATGAGTTACACATGTAATAACTATAGGGATCGATTTACACAACTACGCGAAAATGTGTTGCGTGTATATGTATTGTGTGCGTAATTGTTTAACCACATTTGTATATGAATTTACGAGATATTTTTTCATATTTTAGGCACATTGATTCATATTTACTACAAATCTGGTTGAATTTTTTGTCATATGTTTTTTATGTAAAATTTGTACATTTCAACTATATTTGGTTTATATTTTGCTCATAAAGTAAAGTCCAGAGTCTATCAATACACTGTTATTATAAATTTATTAATGTAATAGTATTCTTTTTACGTTTTTTTTAAGACAACGAAACCTAAAATTATGTTATCTGTTTGAAATAAAACTGCCTTTTCCAATGTTAATAAATATTTCGTAAACAAACTTGAGCTGTGTACCTAGTCGTTTTTTTTATATAAATTTCATGTCATGAAAAAATGAGTTTTCGAAATTATAAATAACTTAATGATTTTTTGTTGATGTACCTATGTAAAAGTATAATACTTTTAAAAATGAATTTAAAATTAAATGTAACAATCTATATTTAGAGGTACAAACTATTGGGAAAGTTAAATTCATTTTATTTATAATATCATTTTAATGCATGGTTAAAACTAGGTACCATTATACAACGTAATCGAAAAAAAAAAGTTCCCATGAACATACTTAGAAATTAAAACAAAGGTGTCACAAACCGCTTACGCGGCTGAGATTGTAAGTTGTATTTGATCCCTGTAATGATTATGATTATGTTGCACTAGGACCGCCGTGAGACAAAACGTGTAATATTAAACGACTCTCTCACCATCCGATCATTTTTGCCAACTAACAGTCTATATGTAATGCAAAGAAAGGATTTTTTTGACCAGAATTAGATACTACATACATAATTAGTAACATCCTACTAATTATGCAAATCGATGTGACAAGTGTTGCGACATATACAATTAATAAAAATATATATGCCAATGGTTATAACCGATTTATAGGATATTACACTTTTCATAGAGGTTATTTAGATTTAGTAGGGCACTAATGTAAGAATAGTTTTAATAATGTTTATATACTCACACTGCAGTGTGATTTAAATAAGTATGCTGAAGTTTATCCACTTAAATAAGGATACTATTTCAATGGCATTAGCTTCTTATAGATTTGTTAAGATTTAAAATGAATAATATAGTTTAAGTTTAAGAATATAAAAAAATTGTAAACATCTTATAATATTTTTGATAACTATAATTTTGTTTTAAAAACTGTATTTTCAGTCTATTGAATTAGTAGTTATATATGAAAATTTTAAAAGTTATGCAGTAATGATAGGCGAACTAAAATTATTTCACAACAAAAACTAGATTCAATACAATTACGTAAGGATTTGATGATTATTTAAAAAATTTAAATACAGAGATAGAAAGTTATATTTTTTTAAATTACGGTGTTTACGATATTTTAATATGTAATAAATATAATATAGTAGGCATACGAATTTTAATATTTTAAAATAACGAACAATTTTTTGATTTTTACACCAAGTTGTAATTCATTGAAAAAAAATTTGTAATTCAATTTCTTTTCTTTTTGCCGATGGGCGTGTAGTGTGTGTAGTGTATGCTCATGTAGCTATATATATGATAATAATAAACCTACATTCAAGACCAGTAGACGTATTATTTATTCCCCGAACCTCCCGACATTACATGCCTTCAGAGTTAGCAACCCTTCCCCTTTCAACATGGTGGACCGAACACTTATCCGTATCCAGCTCCATTCTAATAGAATTGCTAAATTTACATGTGATGTTTAGCAATGCCATAAGATGGGAGCGACTGGAGGCGAATAATTTGAGGTCGTCCATATAAAAAAGGTAGTTCACTTTTATACCTCCTTTCCCAAGCTGAAATCCCCACCCGGAGCTCTCCAGTAAAGTACTGAGAGGGTTCAACGAGAGGCAGAACCAGATTGGACTCAGACAGTCGCCCTGAAATATACCCCTTCTTATCCTTATGCGACATTCCGGAGCAGTCATCCGCTCGCCTAGATGACAAAGGATCGTACTCCAATCTTGTAATCAATCTTGTACAGCTCGAGGACCCTCTTCAGCCATGTATGGGGCACCGAGTCAAATTCCTTTCTGTAATCTATCCAGACGGCGGAGAAGTTCCGACAGTTGCGTTTCACCACTTTGCTAATGATCGCTCATGATGCTCAAAATGGAAGTTAGTGTCCTGTATATCATCGGTAGACACGTGATGGGGCGGTATTTGCTCGGGTCTGTGGTACCCGGGTCTTTAGGAACCAAATGGGTGATCCCATTAGTGAAGAGGCTCGGGGGCGACTTCTGGTTGAGAGCCTCTTGAAACTTTCGGGCGAGCACAGTGTGACACATCACGAACCCCTTCAACCAGTAGTGATGCAGCCCATCGAGTCCCGGACTTTTCCAGTTCGGGGCCCTACGGATCGCCTCAGCTACGTCATCCGGTGTTATAATGACGGGGTCCATGGGCGCTATACTCGCACACTGACTCGCCACAACTTCCGTGCAAGGGCCTCCGCTGTGGTTTACGGGCTCTGACCACAGGCCGTGCCAGATTGCTACAGTGTCGGCCTGATTCGGTGCTGGGCCCGTTCCACTTACCATTGGTCGCTCCAATGATTCATAGAGCCTCTTCTGATCACTCTGGAAGAGACGATTCTGATTGAACCATATCGACCTCTCGGTATATCGCCGAATCCGCTTTCCCCAAGCAGTGATTCTTTGCTTCAGATCATCTATGCGCTCTGTCAGTTTTTGCGTTATATCCGGCTGTGACAAACTGACATTTGTCCCAGCAAACGCCATCCTGTCGGTGCGCAAAATTCTTGGCCTGTTATTGCCTAATCTGAAGCATATCAGTCTGCCGATGAGAGTTCTAGCCTTTGCGATACGTTCCTCAATTCTTCTTCTACATGCTGGGATAGCGCTACTTTGGCCAGTAGTGCGTCCAGCCGTGGAAACCTTGGTTCCTATGATACGGCAGACTGCCAACGCGGCGCCAAATAAAATTGAGTCCGTCTCGCAAAGGTCCCGGCTGGCTTCCAAATAGGTCACCAGCTTTGTGTTCAGAGCCCTCACGACAGCCCGATTCCGCTAGCTTAGGGCTATGCGGGGAAGTCGCGGTCGATTTTCGAGAGGCGTACTGCGCGTTTCCACAATCGCCTCTTCCAATGTACTCCTCATATGCTCTAATTCCAGTTCCTGGACGACTGTTACATCATCTTTTGAATCAACCACAACTGGGGTATTCACGGCGGCATCCACGTTTGCGGGTTGCTCTACAATTTGTGGCGCCGCATCCTCAGCCGTAGCATTTTCATCCGATGAGAGAACAGCCTCACGTCGTAGCCGTTCGAGTTCAGCGACATCAAATATATGTGAGCGCAAGATATACCGAACTCGGTCTGCCAGGTTTTGCTCTGTGACGGTTAAAGATGGCTCCAGCTGGCTCTAGCCCGATACGCCAAACATCCAGTTTCTTCCCCTTTTGCCCTAAAGTACTCCCGCAGTGTGTTTGCGATCATTGTTTGTGACCAACGCATGCGACATGCTCCACCAGCGGCAGGTGGCGCTTGCTGAGTCCGAGAAGATCCAGCCGACACCAAGCCTTCTGGTGGGGATGATGGATGCGGAGGGCTGCTAGGTGACCGTGCAGCTCCTCGCGCTCGGCTGGCGGTCCGCATGCTGTCGCGTCCAGCGCTAGCTCCAGACGCGCCCCTGCGACCCCTAGGCAGCGGCCCTATGCGCATTCCTCTTTGTGCCATCATCCATTTCATGGGCGCCAAATAACGGGAGACGCCCAAGCCCGGCACCGTTTCATAGTTCGGTCATATGCACAAACGGACCTTTTCACCCACAATTTTGCCTAGGTACGGCGCTCACACCTCTTGGCAGGGTGCTGACTGACTGCGCCGACGTAGCAGTTTTGTCACATAACTGTTACGTCAGCGGGCGATGGAGTCGTCACTTTCCTACGTCTTAAAAATTATTACTATTATTATTATCATTATGAATTTTTGACATGGATGTCCCTTAAGTCATGTCTTCATTTCATTCGAGATTTCCGTTTTTATGGATTTTTTCTTTACAATATGCTGATACGTAACATTGCGAAATATTGGGAAGATTTTGATGACAACTCAATCTAGCGAACAGTCGATGATGGTAACTTAAGTTTTTAAGGCGCCCAAGCGAACAAAATAACTTGAGACTTATTTCAACATCGAAGCACTTATTTCGTTGTTTTCACTAATAATTTACATGCGCAGACTTATATACATAATTAATTAATTATTATAACTAATTAATTAATTAGTAATTTTAAACATCCACTACAAACAATTACTTAAACGATAAAACAAGAGCAACAATCCGTCCATGGTCAAATTTCCGACAAAACTCGCATCAAGTGATAAGGAGATTGATTACAAAAGAGTGCATTCCATTTTATGTTTCTGTTTTGTAAGTACCCTTTTAAAATTTGAATGAATTATTTTATTATAACACGTAACACAAATTACAAAGAAATTATAACAAAAAAACAAAAGAAAAAACCGTATGCAGTAACGAATAGGCATACGATTCAGCATGGTAAGTGTTGTTATTACCATAGAACTATTATTTTGACACTGTCTCATAAAAAAGCTCCTACATTTAAGAGTAAACAACTTGAATAAGTAACAGTGTTGCAATAACCAGGGAGCTATTATTTTGTCACTTCTCATAAAAAAGCTCCTAAATTTAAGAGTAAATTACTTGAATTAGTTTAAAACTCTTAATAAGTAAGGCAAAAAGTAGAAATATTTTTGGCGTTCCTTTAGGGCATGAGAAGGTCGTTCTTGAAAATAACTTTCAAACTTTAAGAAGAATCGTTAATAAGATAAATACCCAACTCCTCTCATGAAAAACCAAATGATTTAGTTTGCATACATTTTAGTATTTTCATTGCGTTATAAGTAGTAATATAAGTATATTAATAGTTTAAAAAGTCTCTTATTGTAATGTTCAGATATTATATACTCTTAAAGCTGATATTTAATAGATTTTTTTGTAGAATGGGGGTGACAAATTAACATTCAATCTATCTGAAGGTAAGTGTATGCTGTGGCCCATAGACTTTTACATTTATCTTTGATTAAGAATCGAAATATAGATGCGTTTGCAAGCTCAAAGTCAAAGCCCTTAATTTACGCTGGTATTCTGTGAGACCGTGTTCCTTCCCAGGCAGAGCTGACCCATTTATGCTATAACCATAATATTGCTACAACGTGGCTCTATCACGTAAAAAATGTAATTAAACGCAATTAATTGTACATAATATTTTAATAATGATGTAATTATATAGTAAGTGTAAAATGGGCCAGCAAAACAGTCCGACAGCTGGTGTTATCATATTTACCATGTGCAGATTTACCAGGACGTGTGAGGTTGTTTTTTTTTTATAGAAGAGGGGGCAAACGAGCATGCGGCTCACCTGATGTTAAGTGACTACCGCAGCCCATGATCAACCGCAACACCAAGTGAATTTCAGGTGCGTTGCCGGCCCTTTAGAAAGTAGTAAGCTCTTTTCTTGAAGGTCCCCAGGTCGTATCGGTCCGGAAAAATCGCCGGTGGTAAACTATTCCACAGAGAGGTCGTATGCGGAAGAAAACTCTTTTTGAAACGTACAGTGGTGGACCGCCAAGCATCAAGATGGTGTGGATGGTATCGGGATGTTTGCCGCGTAGTACGTTCACGAAATTTGGCGGCTGGGATTAATCCGAACAATTTCTCAGAACACTCCCCATGGTATATGCGAAAAAAAAATGCAAAGAGACGCAACGCCAGTGAATCGAGCCGATCGGAAAGCACTCGATCGTCGACAATTCGAGCCGCTCTGCGCTGGATGCGGTCAAGTGGAAGGAGATGATACTGGGGAGCCCCAGCCCAGAGATGGGAACAGTATTCCATGTGCGGCCGAACCTGCGCCTTGTAAAGTTGCAGGCGGTGTGCCAGCATGAAATACTGTCCCGCTCTGCTGAGCACGCCAGGCTTTTTGGAGGCCAAATTGGCCTTCTCTTCCAAGTGACCACGAAACTGCAAGTCACTCGATATGTCGACGCCGAGGATACCGATTCCAGCTGAGGCAACAAGGGGAGTGCCTTGAAACTGAGGAGATACGACAAAGGGGTTCTTTTTAGCGGTTAACGCGCAAACTTGTGTCTTCTGGGGGTTAAACTAGACAAGATTTAGTCACCCCCAATCGAAGACTCTGTTCAGCAGAGACTCGACTTCAGACCCAAGTTTTTCCCGGTACTCGGAGACGCTTTCCCGAGAAATATTGGCACGGCCGGTGTAAAGAGCATCACCAGTGCTGTCATCTGCATAGCAATGAATGTTACGGGTTTGCAACATATCATTGATATTGTGACGGCCCAATATTATTATTAATAATTAAATTCAATATAAAGGCGCATCAAAAATAGTCTTAATATATATATAAAAATATATATATATATATATATATATATATGTTTATATATTAAGGAATAAAATAACATTAATAAGCATAAAGTTAATATAAATACATTTCAGACGTTAGACCAATAACAGAGTAAATAAAATGCTGTACAGGAACGGGAGGCAGGTGCTCTTCAATGAATTGATTTATTGAACGTTTGTTGGTTATATTTAAGTCGTCTTATTGCTAACAGTGTGTATCAGGTAATAATCAAATACAGACAGATCTTATAACTAATTGCACGACGTGCTGTGATTGGTTGCTAACAATGACGAGCTCTGATTCGTAGCTAAAAGTTTGGTGTTCCGGTGCGTCGCTAGGCGGCGTTAGAAGTCGCGCCAACATGCCGGCCGCCTTGGAAGCTCCAGCTTCCAATGATGTATCTACGTTGCCGCTTGATTGGAGATACCGCAGGCTGCATTCATGTTGTCGTCTTCTGCTGATGATACAGGCAGAGGGCAGATTTTCGAGAACGCTCGTTGTACAGGACCCGTAGCAGTTTGGATGGTGGCGACACGCGACACGCCGTCTTTTCCGGGGAAAATATGGGTAACTCTACCCATACGCCATTTAAGGGGTGGTAAATTGTCCTCCTTAATAACGACAAGCGTGTTTAATGCTATGTCTTCACTGTTCGCCTTCCACTTCGTTCTTGTCTGAAGTTCAGCAACATACTCTTGTGACCAGCGTTTCCAGAAGTGCTGTTTTATTTTTTCCACTCTTTGAAACCGTTTCAAGCTGTGAGTCCGTGCTTCGGTGAGGTCTCTGCAGGCTGGTGCAGTGAGTGGCCGGCCGATGAGGAAATGAGCTGGGCTTAGTGGACGAAGATCATGTGGATCTGAGGACATAGGACTTATAGGGCGGGAGTTTAGGACTGCTTCGATCTGTGCCAACACAGTGCTGAACTCCTCGTATGTCAAGTTAGCGGTACCCACGACACGCTTAAGGTGGAACTTACATGATTTTACTCCTGCTTCCCACAATCCCCCAAAATGAGGAGCATAAGGGGGGAATAAATTTAAATTCAAAATTGTCAGTTGATAATCTATCAATTATTTGCTTTGAATTTCGCTCTAACATTTTGTTAATCTCTTTCATGGCTCCAATGAAAGTTCTACCGTTATCTGAGAAAATTTGAGCTGGTTTACCTCGTCGTGAGATAAATCTTTTAAGTGCTAATATAAATTCTTGAGCAGCTAACGTACTGACAAGTTCTAGATGAATGGCCCGGGTAACAAAACAAACGAATATGCAAATATAGCCCTTTTCCAATTTAGCTCCCCTTCCTTTGCGATTCAGTACGTTTATGGGACCCGCATAATCCACTCCACATCGAATGAATGGGAAACCAGGTTCTATTCGTTCAGACGGAAGGTTGCCCATGATTGGTGTTAGGGTTTTACCTTTCATTCGAGTGCAGCGGACACATTGGTGGACAACCTTTCTAGCTAGGTTTCTACCCCCTAACGGCCACCAATTCTCACGCACGGTG